TTAAAAAATATGTTAAAATCAACTTTTAAAATGTACACTTTAATATTTAAATGATGCTACACTTTTTGAAAGAATTAAAAAAAAATTTTAAAACGCATTAAAATATTTTTTTAAAACGTACACTTTAATATTTAAATGATGTTACACTTTTTCATTGATTTTGCAGAGTACACTTGGTGGTGTAAATGAAAACAGGACTGGAAAAGGAGATTTAACTTTGAACTGAACAAGATTTATAAACCTGATAATATTAGTAATAATATTAAAAATAAATAGAACGAATTCGGTAGCCCATGTGATTCGAATGAGTGATGAAAATACAATAAAAAAGTTATTGCTTTTTAGACCCACTGGAACAAGAAAGCGGGGAAGGCCGCTGTTGAGATGGGCTGATTTGGTGGAGTCTGTTTTCTTGCAATTAATGAAAAGAATTGGAGATCAAAGATAAATCGGAAGTGGTTATGGAGAAAACTTCAGAGGAACGCATAGGTACACATAGAGCTATCTGGTCGACTATTATGATAATGATACTTTTTCAGCCTCCTTACCTTAAGTCTTAGGAAATCAAATAGTCTAACTTGTATTGGATAAAAAATAAAGCACAGAAACATTCTCAAGTTGCTTAAAATGATTCTTATTTATCATCTATAAATTACAACGTTACTTATTCTTATTTGTATTGGATAAAAAATAAAACACAGAAACATTCTCAAGTTGTTAAAAATTATTCTTATTCATCATCTATAAATTACAACGTTACTTATTCTAATTTGTATTGGATAAAGAATAAAGCACAGAAACATTCTTAAGTTGCTAAAAATGATTCTTATTTATCATCCATAAATTACAACCTTTCTTTCTACCTATGCATGCTATCAATTTTCTAAGATGTTTTATATGCTTATATACAGATGAAAACATTAAAATATAGTAACAATCCTTTTTAAGCACAAAAATACCATTCATAAAATTTAAAGAGAGAAAGAAAAAAATACTTAGTAACTAATAATTTTTCTCTCCTATCAACATATAAAAGATATCATTTTTGCTTCTTTAAAAAAAAAATGAACAGGACTTTAAAATTGTGAAATTACGAGAATAGAAGATACCGAGAAAGAGATCGATGCCAAAACAAGATTTACGAAAATCACATGAAACAAATGTGATTACTCATAAGTGCATTTTAGACAGTGAATTGTAATAAATAATATGATAATATTTAAAAAAAGGATAAAAACTTTTGAAAGAAAAAAAAGTCAATTGAAAAAACTGCTAAAAAAATTTGCGAAAAACAATGAAACCATCGTATCAAAAAGTGAAGACTCAAATGCGCTGTTTCAATTCTGCATATTGTAATAATAACGTATAAGAAATATGAGGATGAAAGAAATTATGTTTAAAAAAATATGAGAAAAAAAAGAAACAGTTGAAAATCAATAGCAATAACAACTGAAAAATCACCATATGGATTTTTGAAAGAACACCATAATTTTTTAAGAACATGATAAAAACATTTTACATTTTAATAAAATATGACCCTGAGTGGTCAGATATTCGAAACACCATAAAATTCTAAATCCATGATTTTTTTAAAAAAATAGTTAAAATCATGACATTTCATGACAAATTTTGTTCAGTACCGAAATTCATGACTTTCCATGATTTCTCATGACTTTCCAGGTTCCCCTGCTCATAGAAATATCTGCCATAGGTTGAAACTCCACATAGACTTGCAATGAAATCGGAACAAATCAAGTACCTCAAGAAGTAACTACTCAAATCAGCGCTAATTTCTAAGTTATAATATGCTAAAAATATGGTTTTATTTCAGTCATTTTATCAAAGGGAAAATTTTGTGAAATGACACATTTTTTTTAACAATAAAAACTTTCCACCATTTTCTCTAAAATTAGACTCCCGACCCCGAATTAAAATTCCCCAAAAAGGCTGCCTGAATTTCTCCAGAGCCTTATTTGAGCGATTGGCATTTCTGCATTCTTGGAGAATCATATTTGGTAACTAATGACATAAGTCTTGTTTAAAAATTTAAAACGTTTAAAATTTAAAACGTTTCAAGTAATTTTCTAAGTAGTTTTTGTAGATATGAAAGAAAACTCTGAATGGTAAAAGGTATTTTACAAATTTCATTTTGGATCATAAGATAAAATTTAATAATAAATAATAATAACCTTACTATAATGATACCTAATATTGAACATTAATTACTAATAGCGAATCTTACTATAAATGACAAATATCTTACTATAATTGACAATCACATACGCCATTGATTGCATAAAAAAAGAAAACATATAAAAGAATACATATTTTTATAGGGGATAATTTTTAATAAATTTGTATAATAATAGTACAAAATGTTTGCAGAAAAAACCCTTCTTTTAGAAAAAAGTACAAAAATTACTAGAAACTTTTTAAATTTTCAAGATATATTTAAATCAAACTTTTTCATAATTTATTAAACAAGATTCACAACAAAATTATGAAAAAGTTTGTAAATGTTTTCTGTGCATGCAAAAAGATGAAAGAACTATTTTAAATTTTCAAATCTTGTGCAATTTTCCATAAATTGTTTTCAAATTTTGGAATAGTTTTGTCACTAATTAAAAAATGCTACAAAAGTTTTATTCAATTTTACTGAATACTTTTTAAGTTATAGCATATCCTATATGTAGGTATGTATATATTTATCAGGGTTGGGGTTTTGGACGTCCTAAACTGGTTTTGGATAGGACACATGGGTTTTACTGACTTAAAATGGATAAAACTGTCTTAAAGTGTCCAAAATCTTGAACTTTAATAAAAGGTAAAAATTCGATAGGTGTAACCATTGTACACATAATAGTTACATGTATCAATAAATATTTGATATTTTTTATACAATTTACTTTAACTTATTAAAAGAAAATAATATAATATAATAGGAAAAGGTTTATAATTTTTGAAGCTCCACAATTCATTGAACAACAAAAGTGAATACCTAATCCTTTAAATATAAATATGCTTTTAATACTGATAAATAATGTTTTTGTATAAGGACAAATAATACAATATTAAAAAATAATAATTTTTTAATAAAAATACTAAATTTGTTTAAAAATTAACCTTTTATTTTTCACAATATTTTTTTTAAAAAATTTCATAGTTTTCACATCACAGGATGATAAAAAAAGACATCTATTTAAAAAAAAAAAATTTTTTTTCAATATAAATATATTGGTTTAAATTGAAAATATAAAATAACTGAAAAATGTATTAACAGTTTTGAAGGGCATAATATCAGTTTCAGTTACTGACACTGGTGATGTATCACCACTATGCTAAATGAATTGAACATTGATGAAATAAAAATATTCTTGAACAATACTATAAATAAATGAACCTGTTTATGACTAACCCCTAATAGCTGATCCTGTATGGCAAGGTCAAACTTCAGTTATGTACTATTGAATGAGAGCACCAATTGAACTTGATTACTGATTAATCTTGCTTTGCTTAATGTTTAAATTGAAGAATCAAACAATATTAATAAAACATTATACTTTTAAAAACAAATATTCCCTAGTAGATTTAATTATCAATATGTTATTAGTTCTATGCTTATTTTACCTCTTAAATATCATTCAGATAAAATTGTGACATAATTTGAGTAAAAGGGTTTTGGACAGTTTAAGACAGGACGATTTAAACCGTGGATTAATCCATTCTGTCCTAAACCTTGCCAACCCTGATATATATATATTAATATAAATAGAAATATATATAGATATATAAATAGAAATGAAGAAAATTAAGAAAAACAATAAGTTTTATTTACTGCGCATAAGTTGCAAGCAAATCGAACCCATAATATAAGTTCAAAATGTAGAGAAAACATGGAAAAATTCCAGAACAATGAAAAAAGGGAAAAAGAAAAATAATAATAAAAAATTCCAGAAAAAAAGAAGGGAAAAAAAAATTCCGAAAAAATTTATAAAAATCCGTAAAATAAAATAGAATTCTTTTTCTTTTTTTTCAGCATTTTTTTTAATTATTATNTGAAGGGCATAATATCAGTTTCAGTTACTGACACTGGTGATGTATCACCACTATGCTAAATGAATTGAACATGAATGAAATAAAATTATTCTTGAACAGATAAATAAACCTGTTTATGACTAAACAAGCACTTAGTCCCTAATAGCTGAACCCGTATGGCAAGGTCAAAATTCAGTTATGTACTATTGAAGGAGAGCACCAATTGAACTTGATTACTGATTAATCTTCCTTTGTTTAATGTTTAAACTGAAGAGTCAAACAATATTAATAAAACATTATACTTTTAAAAACAAATATTCTCTAGTAGATTTAATGATCAATATGCTATTAGTTCCATGTTTATTTTACCTCTTAAATATCGTACTGATAAAATTGTGACATAATTTGAGTAAAAGGGTTTTGGACAGTTTAAGACAAGACGGTTTAAACCGTGGATTAATCCATTCTGTCCTAAACCTTGCCAACCCTGAAATATATATGTAGCATAATAGATAAATACAAAAAGAAATGAAGAAAATTGAGAAAAACAATAAGTTTTATTTACTGCGTATGAGTTGCAAGTAAATCGAACTCATAAAATAAATTCAAAATGTAGAGAAAACATGGAAAAATTCCAGAACAATGAAAAAAGGGAAAAAGAAAAATAATAATAAAACATTTCAGAAAAAAAAGAAAAAAAAAAAAATTCCGAAAAAATTAATAAAAATCCGCAAAATAAAAGATAATTCTTTTTCTTTTTTTCTGCATTTTTTTATTATTATTTTTTTTTCTTCATTATTCTGTAATTTTTCCATGTTTTCTCTACATTTCGAACTTATATATATAAATATGTGTATATATATATATATATACACATATAAAGAAAAAAAAATAAAATGTCTACACCCGTGTCTCCATAAATATTTAAGAGAGTAATGAAATTTTATGCCATTACTACACAAAATTAACCAAAGTAATCAATACAAGTTTATTATTATATTTTCTGGCATAGAGTTTTCAAAAACACTTTTTTTCTTCTTCCATTTGTGAATTATTACTGGTGCCTCAAACCTCAAAAAACTTTAAACCTCATTGATAAGCATGGCATGAGAAATCACATATAAGAATTTAAGAAATTAAAAATAAAAAAATCTCAAATTGTCCCTTCAATGACAATCTATTTAAAACAGCCATATGGATAAAGAATTGTACATATAAAAAATTACTACAGTATAACAATATCACTTCCATCAAAGCTAACGTCATCAATATAGAATTGCAAGCCATCTTCATTTTGATCTAAATAGTTCCACAATATCAACTCCTCCAGCAATTGGTCTTCTCTATTCCTATTCTGCCTGCGGCGGTTTTGTCTCGTGGGTGCAGGTAATTCAACAACAGTGCCATCAGACAAAGCGTGCAAATAAAAACAACGATTGCCAAAGGGGCAATCACCTTCGCCTTTACTGAAATATTTACAGTGCTTTGACTTCAAGTTACATTTATACTTTTCGATCAAATTTATTTTTTCTTCTTCAGTATGAAACCAAAAATTGCTGGGTATTATAAAATCCGAACGAATCCTGCACTGAGGACACTTTCTCATCACTTGCTGGTCAACCGCAGCGTCAGGATGCACCGAATCCATAATGCTTCCCCTGCGACGCCACTCCCTGATGCATTCCAAACAGAATACGTGGTTGCATTTTTCCAGGATTCCAAATCTCCGATGAGCTATTTTCTCTTTGTCCAATATCACCTCTAAGCAGATGCCACACACTTTATCCTTACTGCACTGAATAGCAAACGATAATTCCATGTCCCTTTCTAATTCCTTCTCACAGTCTTCGATGTGCTTAAGCTGTTGATTTCTATCGCAAGGATCTAGGCAATATTTCTGACACAAATCACACAACTTACCATGCACGCAAGGGCACCAATCTCTCAAAGGACACTGGCCTAGATCGTAATGAATGCATCTGTCCATAGGTAATTTCGCACCATCATTACCAGAAATGCCCAGTTTAGTAATTTCAGGGAAATATTTAGCGATTTCTAATTCATTGAAGCAATCTCGCATGCTGGACTTTCTTTTTTCCTGAATATCTTTCAAAATAAAACTAAATCGTTTTTTAAGATTTGTAGAGCCTGTATCATCAGAGTTGACCACCTCACTCTTATGATCAACTATTTCGTTCATTGATTCATTACCATCATTGTGAGAGAACCAACATTTTTTTCCATATTTGCACATTCCTCTTTGATAAAAATCGCAAGCAACGTTTTTAGGGAGGATTTTAGTCATAGTGTGAGCGAATTCACAATTTTCTCCATCAAGGCAAGTTGATTTTAAGAAAAACGGACAAACCATAATATTTTCGCTTTCTTCTTTGTAAATTGACATTTTCTCATACAATTTCTGAAGAAATTAGAACAATTATTGCGATTTTATTGAGATAAATTCATTATGCTCGATCAAACTCGAAAAGAAAATAAACAAATACATAACAAATTCCGTTACAGTTATGACAACCATAAAGCAAGGTTTAGGCTTTTCTCCCTAAGCTTAGGAACCATTCTCCTTGCATTACGCAAATCTGATCACAGTCGACGCAAATAAAAGCCAACCAATCATGCTTTTCTTTTTTCTGGACGGACGTAAGGTGCGTGAGTCACAGTACGAACGGTATGAATGCGATTTGCTCGCATGCGAGCGAAAATCGGGTCCGGGGGAAATATTTACACGTGATTAAGAATGTGGAAATCCCTTGCGAAATGACAAAGGACTCAGATACTATAAAACACTGATAAAATTAACTAGCGTTTCAAAACCGAAGAAGAGGAATCAAATGCATTTTTTTCGCATGCGAAAGTTTTTAACAGGCATGGAACTGCTTGAATTGTTTTATTGGTACAACATACATTTGCAGGCTTGTTTGCTCAATTAAGGCTCATAAACCTTTGTCAAGGAGAAGGACAGATAGCACAACACAGAAAAGAACATCACAAAGAATATATCCAGGGTTACGGCGGGATTCGAACCCGCCACCTCCACGAGCGTTTGGCGGGATACACCGCTCTGATAGGAAGGCCCCTAGCATATGAAAATTATAAAACTCTTAGGACTGTAGTTTACAAAAACATAAAGCACATTAAATAATCCCAAGGAATTGAAGTAGTAAGATATTACATGATTTAAAATTTCATTTGCTTCAAAAATAAATTTCATGTCTGTATGTATTTAAAGCGAATAAAGTTTTCACAATCAGGTAATAAAGTACATTCTTGATTCTGAGAAGAAAAATAATCGACTTCACTTTCGGGATTGTGGTCATTAATTTGCTTTACATTTGGAAAGAGTAATTTCTGTTTTCAACGCCCGGTGGCTGAGCGGTAGCGTTTCGTGCTGTCGTGCCACAGGTCCCTGGTTTGATCCTTGGACCGGGCAAGGTTGACTCAGCCTTTCATTCCTTTAGTGTGTCGATAAATGAGTACCAAGCATGATTGGGAACTAAACAATGGGGGTTCCGCGCTCGGTTGACCACCTGACCGGAGCATCTGCTCCTGCACCTCAGAGCCCAAGGTCAAGAAAACTGAGATGGGCACAGTAGGCCTTGGCCCTCTATGGGCTATCGCGCCGCTGAGTTTAGTTTTAGTTTTTAATTTCTGTTTTCCGAAGATTGAATTTGAAGAAGCAACTTTGAATTGAAAATAATTGAAGAACCAAGATTGAAAATAATTCATTGAAATTTTTCATTACAAAATTGGAACTAATTAACTTCATTATATTTACCTTCGTTATATCGAGCATTTGATTATATTGTTCCCATACAAAACAAAATGGAGAGATTTTGCAAAACGTGAAGTTCTTCGTAACTCTAAAATTAACGCTATTTTAGTTTTGCAGCACATGTGCCAGAATTTAACTGAAAATCTATGTCCCAAGAAAGGATTAAAAATAAGTTTAGCGTGATTAACGTAAATCAAACCTTACTCAAAATCTCCGTAATGTATAAAGACGGGGTAGGCTGCTTTTCTGTAGTTTGAAACTGAACCAAAATATAACTTTTCCGGATTATGTATAATTCTGGAGTAAGTTTAACAATATATTTTAATGCATAAAATTTTACATCTTTGAAAATATAGGAATAGAATATTCCACGAAACAAAATACAAGTTATTAACCGCTCAATACATAATTGAACACTCTTTTTAAAATATATTAAAGGGTGTTCAGTTTTTGCCGCTCTTAATGTATATGTTTTATAGTATCGTCAAAAAAGCAAACTAAAAATGAACATAACGAGTTAATGAAGTATGAAAAAAAAAAAGAAATTTTAATTCGATTAACTAGCGCGAAGAAGAGAAAACTATCAGAATTCTTTTATGTCTAATGAGACCAGAATACGATTGCTGTAAACTACCTGTCAGCCATCCAGATAACTTGCTTTTACTAATTTTTATCCCTCCTTTGCTCTAAATGAACCTGCTTCCTCAATGTCGAGTCCGTGTTTTATCACATCTCTGATCCTTTATGTTCACAGATTTTTTTCTTTCAATTTCCTTTTTGACAATGTGTCTAAAATTATCACTGAGCACCCTATATTTTATATGATGATAGGTAGGTATTTTATTTACTTGACATTATAGCTGCACAACGGGTTATTGGCGACAGTCTGGGAAACATTCCCCAGAATGATCCGAGGAAATGCTATCACAATTTCGATCCTCTGCAGAGGGGATGGCTCCTCCGCTTTGGTAGCTAAACGACCTGCGCGAAGTCAAGCCCTTCACGGTTGAACAGTTTAACGAGGTCTTATACCGTGCACCCTCGGTCCCTACGTAGGCTGATCGATGTGGTCATCCACCCGCTTACTGACAGCAGACAGTGATGCTTGACTTCGGCGTTCATCATTATGATCATTCCACTGCGGGACATTTTATTTGATGAAAAAACTCTGGGATAAAAATCTATGATGTAGAAACTTTTAATCTCAACAGGCTACAGCTGCAAAGAAAATATGCAGACATTTTTGTGTCACTTAAAAGAATGTTTCTTTTTTCTTCATTCCCGCACTTTCGAAAAAATAAATAAAATCTTCTACTTTTACAATATTTGTTTAGCATTTTTAAACCGTAAGCCTAAGTTGTAGAACTAATTTACAACAATAATAATTCTATTTTTAAAAGTAAGACGAAAAATAATTATGCCTTAAATAGATAAGAATTGGTTTGCAATGAACTTACTTAGTGATTTTTCAGAAGAAAAAAATTCATTTTCTATTTCAAACAAAAAGTTGACATATCAAGGTTTTGATAACAATCTCTTCGACGCAATTGAAATTAACATTAGTGGATAAGTAATGCCAAGGGGGAAATATTTTTTTGACATAACAAGGTTTTAGATATAGTATCAAGAGTATACTGTAATTTATTTATTAGCGTCTTATTTTAAAAAATTAAAATTTCTAAATTTAATAAATTTTTCAATTTATGTTCTTAGTTACTAAATCTTAATTTTTAGCGAGAAATTTCTATGTTCTTTAATATTTTCGTCATTTTTCATAGCTTTTGAAACAGCCCTAGTTTAGCGCTGTTCATAATCGTATCACAAATATTGTCGGTAACAAAAAAAAAGAAGATGCCAGTAACACTGTCACTAACAAATATTGTCACTAAAATATGTTCCCCCAATAATTGCCTTAATGCCGTAATAGTTTTTTATTTATATAATAAAGACTTTTGATATGATTCTTTTAAAGTTATGTAAGAATATTACAAAGTCACTAAAAATAATCTTCAAGAAACAAAGCCGATTGTAGTTGTACTTTATTTACGTCACAGTAAATCTGCACTATGGGCTTTTGGCGACGGCCTGGGAAATATACATCCGAGCATATTTTATTGTGGCATTGCACAATTACAATAGCATAGTTTCACTAAATTAATGTATAGTTTTTCATTCTTAAGATAGACTTTTATATAAACTTAGTTTTCTCAGTTTTATCAATTTCTCCATATTTACTAAGATCAACAAACCATAAGAAAACTCAGTAAGCTTGTTGAAGGTAAAGTGAAAACTTTTTCAACCATAGCTAAATGGAAATTAAAACCTATTATAGTAACTGCAAAATAAATGAAACTGCAGTTTTCCATAGTTTAGCACTAGTTAAGCACTTTGATGTACAAATAGGTAAAAATTAAAATTATTCTTTTCTTACTTTGCATTCATATACTTGAAAGTGCAATACATTTTTTGCAGTTTTTGTAGCAAAGTTGCAATATTTATTCAAAATAATCTCAAAACGGAAAAAAATGTACTTTTCATCAAAGCAACAAACCGTAGTAAAACTTGGTAAGGTTTAATAAAAAAATTTTTTTTTTTACAACCCTGGTTAAAATGGAATCAAAACTTTATTTAATTGCTAAATATTTCTTTTTTTTTAAATAAAAAAATCTTATTTCATTACATTTAATGGTAAAAATCACACATTAATGAATTAATGTCAACAAAACTACTATACAGAAAAAGAAAAAAAAAACACGATTGATTTTTCCCACCACGTAAGGAAGCTTACTGTAAAATTCAGTGAGAAATAGTTACTACTTCAATGCTTAACACAATCACTATGTTCTGTGAGCAATCACCTTTAATGACTAAGAAATAACCACCTTGCAATGTTCGAAAATTGAATAAAAATTTAGTTTTTTCTCAGAGTTTCAAACGAAATGTTAAAATGTATCATTTAATGTTAGAGCAATTTGAAATCAAAATTTAATTTACTAACTGCAAAATTAATAAAACTTTATTTTATGACACATTTAACAGCAAAAATGAAACATTCATTTCATAACAGAAATAGACAAAAACCATATCTTACTATAATAAAATAATCTTAAGTAAATAATAATAATAGCAAGTAAATAATCTTATTCTAAAAGTTTCAGCAAGATATTACAGTTAATAAAACAACACTTAACAAAATCAGCTTACTTTATGAAGAGCCATCTGTAATATAGCAATGAAATAATCATCTCGTCGTTAATAAAAGCAAGGATCTAAAATGGAATAAAATTTTAGCCTCCCTCCTTCACTAATTTTTGCATTATAACGAAAATATCAAACATAACATAAAAAATTATTGTTCTATATTTTTTTTGTGCAAACTGAAGAAAATTTAGAACACAGCAAGGCAATTTTCACATCAAGCACTAACTTTAGGTCAATTTATAACGAACTGTTTTCATATTCTGCTATGTTCTCACCACACAACAGCTCTGAATTGTCGTGATTTAGAACATTAAAAAATTATTGTTCTATAAATTTTGTGCAAACTGAAGAAAATTTAGAACACAGCAAGGCATTTTTCACTTCAGACGCTAGCTTTAGGTTCATTTTTTCAATTGATATTGAACTTTTTTCATATTCTGTTCATGTTATGTTCTCAAAACACAACAGCTCAACAACTCTGAATTGTTTCCTCTTTAGAACACGCAAAATTTTG